GGAGCCGGCAGGCGTCTGCACCCCTTGGTGTCCCCTCTGCATTGGGGGCCTGCCGGATGTCCCCCTGCCCACCACACGTCCCCCTGGGGTCTGGGAGCGTGACGCTAGATGGCACCGCGAGGAAGGGAAAGGCACCGCCATCGCCTTACCGAGCGACCAAGAAGAGGACGCAGCTGACAGCCAGGTAGGCGAGCAGCATGAAGAGCCACACGCCGGGGGAAAAGGGATCCAGGAACGAGAAGTAGCCAGGTTTGCGACCCTGGAAGGGAAACCAGAAGGCGTTTGACCTGCTTGTATTTCTATAAATTACGCAGTCGGAAAGCAACAAACACACCTGCCCTGATGCCGGCAACAACGGGAGCAACAGAAGGGAAATAAGGTAAACGGGGCTTTGCAAATGCCTTGGAGGGGAAACAGGTGACAGTAAAGGCAGCAAATGACCGAGTCCTGCAGCATCTCCCTGCTGGGATTCCTCTCCTAAGACTATTCTCCTCCCCACGTCAACCTCTTCCCTTGGAAAGGCATAGAAAGAGGTGTTTTGATAGAAAACTCGAGACAATCACAGTGCCTTGCACTCGTCGCGGCGGGGTGTGCTGCCCCCCTCGCCTGCGGGGTTGCCAAGGGGGGAGTCCCCACCCGGGGCCCTTGTCCACCCCAGAAGCTTGCACATCACACTCGCTGGGCAGGAGGGGCCCCCCTGGGAGAGCACGCCTGGGCTCCGAGGTGGGTGGGATGCTTTGCACGAAGCCGAGTGGGGAGAAAACACTTTTGTGTCGGAAAAAAGGAAGAAGAAAAAAAAAAAAAGAGACATTTGCAATATTTCTGGTTTTCTTTCTTCAGCCTCTGAATGTTTCTTCCCTACAAAACTCAGTAAAATTATTACTTTTATCTCAGGGAACACGATATTTTTATCTCCAGGATGTGTCAGAATTTCCTGTTTTTCCTCAGCAAACCACCTTTCCTTGCAAAGTAAGGCCCCACTGCTAGAAAAAGCAGGTTGATCTCCTCTCAAAAGCACCTTAAATTTTCACAAGGACGCTGCCACCGCTGAAATCTTGTCAAATGTAGCCAAGTTTGTGCAAAGGGAGGATTCATTTCTAGGGAGAAGGTTCTCAAAAGCTGAACCCCTCACGTTTTGGCGAGCGTAGTTCTCCCACCAGCTCTGTACATGAAGCTCCCCTGCAACATAAACTGCTCCAGGGTGGGAAGAGCAGCCACTAACTTCCCCCCCACCTCCCCAGCACACTCACACTGCTGTGGGAGGATGGAGGGAGTGGTGAAAATAGAGCACAAGCCACAGGAGCGAGGAAGTGCTCGTTTGTGCAATTTTCAACATCCCCATGGAGCAGAAAGGGTTTTGTTTCAGCACGGTGTGCCCCTGACACACCTCTGCCGCAGCGCTGGGGCACTGCTCATCTACAACAGGCATCTCCCTTCCTCACCGACTCCTCTGAAAGGCTCCCAGCGAAAGCACAAACTCCCAGCACAGGGCTGAAGGGCTGCATTGACCCTGCGGGAACGTGAGTCCTTTGCTCACAAGAGTCTGTATCTTCTGCCCCAAGCCACAAAATCAGTCCTGGCACCACAAAGCCTCAAGCTCTAGTTTCCCCAAGCACCTGTACCGGGATGCTGCCCATGAGTCAGAGCGCCTGCGGAGGCTTTTAGTGTAAAGTCAGAGTGGAAACAGCCTTTTCTCACATCTCAGCCAGGCTGTCAGCGTAGTTCTTACTGGCACCTTGCTCTGTGGTGTGCTGAAAATGTCCATCACTGTTGGCTCAACGCAGCTCACTCCAGCAGCCGTTTCCCAGCACTTGCAGCACGGCAGCTGCTCCGCTGTAGGTTTTTTCGTTTTACACAGAAGCTGCTACCAGGGATCATCTTTGACACACAGAGGCCTCATTTTTCCCTAGTCCGCTGGTTTACCCTGCGCATCTGTGACACCACATAAACTAATAATAGCTGGTAATAAATAACACCTAACCTCAATTGCCACAGCAAACCCAGAGCCATCAAAGACCAGAGTCCTGGTATTTTAGAGCTGTGCTTAACCCAGAGGCAGTGAATAATTTTCTGTTTTCACAAAAGTCCCCAGGAAACAGAGCTATTTTTTTCCCTTCCCCAGACTTAAGACCAGCATTTTAAGTTCCTTTTCCATTCAAATACACTGTTTTACTACTGAAGTATTCCTAATTTTATGCAAAACCTGAATTATATAAGGTCTTGGTAGTTGTTCTGAAGACTATGTTGTTGCTAGAAAAGACGACAGTTGTAGCACAAAAATCTTCCTCTGCTAAAAATATCTAGGATACTGTGATATCCTCAGGTCCAGTCACCAGCTGGGATCGTAACATCTCAGAAACCTTCTACAGCATGCTCTGCCCTGCATGAAGTAAAGAACCACCACTCCATAACATCCTATCCCTGTATCCCTAAGGACAAGATGAGCTTGGGATCTACATTAGAATTTCTGGAGAGCCTGGCTTATTAAGCCCTTTAACAAATAGATGAGTTAAGAATCTGTGATTCAGACCTTCCTGCACCCGTTTTCAGTTTTCTTTGAAATCACTTCCCAATAAAAGGTTCAGGTTCTCCTGGGTATAATTCCAGAGTCTCTCTTTAAGAGAAGGTCCCCCTTCCACACCAGGGTCATCTTACTGTGCTTGGTATAAGAAAGTGAGGTACAAACAGTGAAAGATACTACGTTCTTATTTTGTCCTTCCCCTTTTTTGGTCCATTGCTGCTGTGTCCTGCTTTTCTTTATATTCTTCCCAGAAACCCAGAGAGACAAATGACTGCTACAGCCAGAATCTGGGCCTTCAGAGCCAGATGACGCTGCTGGAAACTACACCCCCAACATCCCGGAGGACTCACGTTTCCACTAACATCCTTTGCTCGCCTTGCTGGAGCTCGTCGCTAGATCAAGCAGGTGAGAGTCTGCAGGCTCCAAGGTGCACTCCCTCTGCCCTTCTCACTGATCCCACCCAAAGGATCAGGGACTTCTTGATGCCAACAGGAAGCCAAAGGTAAGGACTGATGGAGCTCTTCAGCCACTGCATGGCTTTGTTGGATGTCCCACAGCCCCCTGGTTCCCTTTTCCATCTAGAGCTGAACTGGCTCAGCTGCCTCTCTTCTTCCACAGCTGTTTACACACTCAAGAATGAAATGAGGCAACGGGAACCTGGAAGGTGTGAAGGGCACTATTTGCCCTCACTGGAGCAAACTGGAGCTTCTCGACCAGAAGATTGTTCCGGGCGCTTAATCCCTCCCCGGCATCCCAGAGCTGGCAGGAAACTCCCAGGCACTGGTGGTGCCTCGGCTGGGGCTCCCTCATGAGATGCTCCTATAACAAAGTTCCTTTCTGTAATTAAGGCCTTGATGCCTTCTCTGTGTTTCTGGGGCAGTTTGTCAATAAATTACGCTCATTAAGGAAACTGCGTTGGAAGCTTGGCAATGACTCTCTCCTGTGACTTACAGTAGTAGTTCTGGTTCTTTTCAGATACAGTCATTTTCAGGCTGCTGCTACATATTCTTTTCATTCACAGTTGTGGGTAAGAATCAAGATATTTTATTCCCACAGAGGGCACAAACTCTCTCTTATCTGTCTGTTTTGAAGATGGGAATGACAATATCTGGAGACTGTCAGATATTTTTAGCCAGTCCCAATACAGCTTTGTTAATTGGAAGAGCTATGTTTCCTGGAATAGAAATGTTCAAAATGTCCAATAATTGATGAAGGCCTCCTGCAAATCCTCAGACAGAAGCAGGAGAGATTCATTTACGCTCCTCAGTTGTTCTTGGAAAGTCTTCATTTTCAGCCAAAGAGAATAAGTTTTCTGGTGAGTGAAGAGCCTGAACTTGCAGGACATCCAGGAAGAGGAGGAGGAGCAGTGCTGTATGGCATGGTCCTGGATGTGTCTGTGTTCAGGTCTCTAAGGCACCATAAAACTCCTCACCTGCCCTGGACACACAGACAGAGTCTGAAGGGACCCCTGTTCATCTTGCAGAAACGGTAAGCCATACCTATGTAATTTCTCATGGACATTTGTCACTAATAATGCAGGCAAAAGAACTCTCTTCTCTCTCTGTAAGTCAGAAAGAAAGTAAGAAAACTCAGCCTGGAAAGGCCGAAACATTGATGCGTGCTAGGTGTAACTGCAGGGCATTTGGTCTCATCAAAACAAAGCGTGTATATGCTAGGATGACCACAACGGATCCAGATGCAGATCCAGATCCCTTCTCCTCCAGGGTCGATAAGCAAAACCCAAGCACAGGCTGCTGTGAATCCTGAGCCTAATCTGGGGTCACCAGATGGTCCACAACCAACAGGCCAGTGCATAGCACAGTCCTGGGCATGCCTGTGGCCAGCGATTGCCCCCATCCCTGCTTCAGCGAGCAGGAGGCTTGCTGGCAGAGCAGCACGGGTTGTCAGAGGGATGCTCAGCTCCTCTCAGCTCCTCTGCCTCGGCTGGCAAGCCTCCTCTGGCTGGAATGAAGGAGCTATTCATTCAGCCCATCCCATTTCGTGTCTCCCGCAGCAATCAAGTAGAAACACTTTAAGCCTCAGTTTACTTGGCCTGAACTCAGCTATTCTAGTGTACTCACCAAATTTGCATTTTCTCATATTAAGGTAGAGCACAGTAAGGACTTTCAGGGCTGATGAGCCAGAACCATGTGCTAGCTAGTCCCTCGTTCCCTGCCATTGAGCAAAAGCACGTGTATGCTACAACTAAACCTGACTTTCAACATCCCTTTGTGTGGAAATGGCACCGGGCACCTGATTTCAGCCCTCTGCCAAGCAGAGTGACTGCTCAGGACTTGTCATCTATCTCCTGCCTTTCACGGGTCCCACCAGCTGGTCAGAAAAGGAACATAATAAAACAAAGCAAGCCTTTTCTCTTAGCAGCCTGCAAGTCAGAAAGCCTATTAGAGTTCCCGTGTCAGAAATCCATACTTGATTATATCACAATAAGTGAAATTGAGAAAAATGACAGCCCCATTTAAAGCTGCCATACTTGGTTATGTGTGATAAGAGACAAGCACTGTGGTGGCTGGGCTGGCGGGGTGGGAAGGAGAAAGGGGGAGAAACCATTTGCCACTGGAGTTATATGGAAATTAAAAGAAAATGTCATCACACTGGGAGGAGACCAGGGCATGGAGGCAACTCCTCAGCAAGAGACTTATTTGTGGTTCTTTATTAGGCTACGACTAATCTGCGCCGTGATTAACATACGTCAGCTGCAATTTTTGACATTGCAGAGATGTTTGGTGGGGAAGGGAGAGGAGGGGGGTAGGAGCAGATGGGGCTGTGGGGCTGCCTTCCACTGCTCTGTAAACTACGTCCTTAAAGGAAAAGCAGAGCAATTAGCTATCTTGTCTTTCCTTGTTAAATAAATATTTACCAGTTTAATAAGTTAATTGCCACACAGCTCTCAGACACTCTCCTCAAGCTAAGCAGGAGAAGTCAGGACAAAGAGTGGCCAAGTGCTGGAGAGGGAAGGAGGGGCTCCACACTTCCCTGCTGGGGAGACCTCCCTGCCCCTGGGGAGGGCATGAGCCCAGGCTGCCCCTGCCATCGCTCCTCATGGCCTCGATAGGGCAAGGCAGGGCTCGCTGCGGGGTGACCTGACCTGGGAGATGCCCTGCTTCTCCCTTGCAAGCCTGCCTGGGTCACTGGGCAGCTCCCCTACTCCACGTCCCCACTGGGTCCTTCGCCGGGCAGCTGAAGACCAAGTCCTGACTGATGGCAGGGGACTATTCGCCAAACACTTTTTAAGGCTGTAATTATTAATCCTGTTCGGTTTGGTAAACGCCTGAAGGGCAGCCTGGAACATGGCTGGGTTGCATTGCTCTGGTACCAGTGTGAGCAGCAGATGGTCCCTGCCCCGAAGAACTTACGCTCTAAGTAGATGTGTCAGACATTGATTTTGAGCCTGCACAGAGGCAGCAGCAAATGCCTTGCACTTATAGAGCAGATCACATGCAAGTACTGCACCAATATTCCTGTATTTCCTCTGGAGGGAGCGATATCAGCCTCATGCTGTTCAGGGAATGAAGCCTCGTTAAGGGACTTAGTGGAGGTTATGGTGTAAATCGGTGGCAGACCATGCATGGTACTCAATCCCCAAACCTTAAAAATGCATATGAGAAAGCAAGAAACTCGATCATAATCCCAGCCAAGAGATGCTGGCAGAAACACCTCCTGGATGCACAGGGCAGCTGGTAGTGTGAAAAAGCACATGTAGCAAGGAAGAGACATTTACATTTGATTTCCGGGAGTTTGCAGAGTCTGACCCTTTTTGATCAGTTAAGTCACTGATCCTAAAGTCTGCACGTACCCGAGGAAACAGAATTTTAACTAGATTTTAATTACTTGTTTGTTCTTGGCAGGAGCCACTCAGCACAGAGAGATGTCTGCGCAAGTTTGTTTATGTTCATACCAAACACTGCATCCTTAACAGCCTTCTGAATGGAGAAGGGGGGCTGGGAGAGGCAGCTTTAATTGTTTTATCCTTTTGGCTGTTAATGTTGAGCTGATGGAAAACCAAGACTGTAAGGCACTGCACAGAGCACGTTTCCAGACTGGCAATAACGTGACATCCTGTTGCACAGGACCTGGCTGCCAGAGCTCGCCTCCTGCGACACCAGGGAACCGGGGGCTCTGCCTGGCCCATATGGGCGTAGCTGAGGGAAATCTGTCCTCTTCTGCGCTTCGGGAAGAAGCTAGAACAATGGAAAACGGGGATGCAAAAGAAGCTATGAGAATTCAGGACAAGTGTTGTCTAAGCAAAGGCAGGACACAAGGCCACATATGTGCCTGCACGTGTGCCTCCCCTGGGCACGCACATTCACAGCTGCTCCGCTCCAAGCGAAACAGCCACCACGTAATGCCCGACCCGCCTTTGCCGCTGGAGCTGCGGAAGATTTCGGAATGACAACCAGAGCCAGCTGCTGAACAACAGCGTGCCCCCTTCTCGCCCCTCCCTGGCCAGCGCAGACGCACGGGGTGCCGAGAGCACGCGTGCAAGGCAGGGAGCACCTGCCCGAAGCACCCTGAGAGTAAGGAGCCTCCCTTGGGCTGCAGGGCCCGTGGATCTTTAGGGTGAACAACCGAGAGGAGGCGAATGAGAAGGTCTAAGAGCAGAGAAACACAGCCCATGCAGGGCAAGGGGGGAATCGAATCCACCAAGGCAGAAAGACGGAGAAAAGAAGGAAATAAAGGTTGAGCACATTTGCGTTTAAATAAGAAACCAAAATATTTTTATGAGTCATTCATTTTTCTTTTGTAACTAGGCACGTTTGCATGCAAATAATGGAGGGACATAAACGGTATAAAATAAGTCTCTTACCATATGAACTCGGTAGAGAATGCTAATTCCCAAAGTCATGAACGGCTTAGAGAAATCAATCACTTTCTCCCGCTCCGCAGTAATCGTCAGCCCCGCCACGGCCAGATCAGCTTTCTGGAGAGAAAGGAGAGCAGAGAAGGTCAGGACCTGAGCCCGGGAAGGGTGCAGGGCAGGGAAAGCAGCAGAACCATGCCCAAGGCCACACGACACCCCTTCCTGGAGGACAGATGTCCCATCTTTCTGGGAGAGGGTGCATTTGCCGTGGGGCAAAACCCAGGCTCTGTGGAAACCGGGGGAGTTTTGCTGGTGAAGTCCACAAGCTCAGGCTGTGCTCCCACATCCCTCTCCCCAGGTGGGTTTCATGTAAGCCCTGCTCAAACACACTCCAATGACCCACCTTGTGCTCTGGATCACTCTCTGCATTCTTCCTTTCCTCACCTGGGCATTTTCTACACTTAGAGGTTGGAAAAGGACAAGGCTCCCAGTGGGAGACCTAGATGCCAGGAGCTGTAGGCAGCCCCTGCCCCCAAGCACTCACAGCCTCATTACCCTTTCTATTCACTGAACCCTTTAATCCTGGAAAAACAGGAGCCACTGAGACAATAAATACTGTGCAACCTCCTCTCCCAAAGCCCCTGTTGAACACAAGCTGTCCCTCTCCAGACAAGACTGTTAACTTGCAAGCACCACAGTTAGGAAAGCGTAACAAAGCAGCATCATTACCCCCGTGCCCGGAATCATGAGGTTTACAAACCTGCCAACCCCAGAATTCCAAAACTGCAGATCAGCCTCCAAAAAATTCAGAGGACTGGCATAAAAATTTCCAGATTGACTTGCAAAGCAAATGAGATTAGGGGGGAAAAAAATAAAAAGAATTTCACCCAATGTTAATACCCTTGTAATATAGATAAGGGATTTGAATTTTAAATATTATTTTTATTACTATAGCTCTTTTAATGTCTGTAATTGCTTTCTGTAAAAATGAAACCTCCTCCATTCCCTTATACATTTGTTTGCCTGCTTTGCAGGATGATGATTATGCAAGTGGAAAAAAAGAAGGAGGGGGAAAGAAAAGCTATTTGCACTTGTTCTCCCTGAGTTTCATAAGGTCTGTGCAAAAGCCAAGGCACTATCAGGCCCGAAGACCCAGTAAACTCTGCAGCTCACCTCCCTGGGTCCATGCACCAGTTGTAAATCCAACACACAAAGGCAAATATGTAGGTGCATCGCTCTCCCCATGCTCCCTGACCCCGCTGCTCTGGCACCGTTTTCCTTAAGGGAAAGGACCGATCACCTCCTGGCAGAGCTTTACCAGAGGGTCTGCCCCCCACTCTGCCTCCACCACTCGCCCACTTCCAGGCAGGCAGGGAGGAAGGGGCAGCGACAGACTGGCGTTGCAGGAGGGACGAGCAGCACTGCTGGAGCCTGCAGGACGAAGGGAAGGGAGAAGAAAGGCAAGGTGAGCCGCAAGCCTGCCCAGGAAGGGGGTCACGGGCAAGGTGAGGCTTCACGGTCCGTGCAGGACTGTTTTATTGGTCAAGCCCAGTGCCAGATTTCTGCAATTGTTTCTAAGCAGCTATTACAGATTCCTAGGAGGTTCAGGCTGGAATGAATTATGAGGTAGGGAGAATTTCTGCCTAGGCAGACATTTACCCACGGGGTTTTTTAAAGGCACCGATAATCACAATGTGGTGTGTGAGCAGTTGAGCTCTATGTAAACACCAGCAGATTACTAAGATGGGATCAGTTTCTCTGTGGAACACGGCATGTGAGGAAATTTATCCACAAGGAAAGCCTAAAGCTTCCTAAACCTCTTTTGTCTATACTTAAAAGGGGTTGCAGGTACTATTGTCCTGGGGAGAGCTCTCCCAGCAAAGCCCCTCGTGAAGATACAGCTTATTCTAACAACGGATTTCTTTTCCCCGTTCTCCAAGCCGAATACAATTCTTCCAGCAAAATCTTGGACTAAACAGACAGTAAATATGCCGCATCAAAGGTGCTTTATGCGAAAGCCCTGAGGACGTTTCCATTCCCACCCAGGGGCTGATATAAAGGCACTGCTGAAGGGAGCAGCACGGCCTCCAGCTTTACCCAGCTAAGTCACCATCGCTCGCCTGCCCCCACCCCTCAGGGCTGGGATGTGGATGCTGTCAGGGAACCTTGTGCAGGTGAGGTATTCCCCCAGCTACTGTCCTTTGGGGCCCCTTCCAGATCATGTAGGCAGCAAAATCTTAAAAGCTGCTCTTTCCTATGCAAAATATAATGCAAAACCATCCCCCTCTCTTTGCCTACAGAACAGAAACTCAGTGCAGCAGAGCTGCCTTCCCCAGGCACATGGGTTTTGTGCCCAGGTCCCTTCTCTCGTCTCCAGAAAGTCCTGCTATTCCATTAGAGTTGATTTCCTTCCACTCATTCCCTACCTGGTCAACTTTTGTCCTTTCAGGACTTTTGCCAGCATCAGAACTACGGTAGCTCACATCCACCTTCTCCTGTGCCAGAGCTCCCTGCAGCAGAGACTCTGCTCCTCGCGGCTTCAGCTGGGGCTGTGCTCTGCCAAAGACTCTCTCTGCAGGCTCAGAAGTCATGCAAGTTAAGAGCTGATCTCTGACAGCAATAAACTTTGATCAGGGAATGGCATGCAATGCATCCTCTGCCTGAATATCATCCATTTCATACTTTCAACTTTGCTTCCTGATGTTCACAAAACTTACAGTGATTCACTGAGGTCAGCGACTCTTAGTTATGGAAGAGCTCTGCAAACCGGAGTGCTCTCCAGCCCTCCTCACCTGAGCACGGGTAGGAGATGGCATTTTATACACTAAGCAATGCATTGGGGGAAGGAATGGATTTTGCTTTCTGCTCCTGCACTCTGTCCACAACTGGGCCCTGGGGAAAGGGAAAACAGGAGGCAAAGGATAGGGGGGAGAGGGGGCAAACACTGCTTGATTTTCATCCTTCCAGCACAGTTGCAGCTATAAATGACAGCGTGAAATAAGCTTAGAAAAAGACCCAGAGCATTTTGGGAGTAGAGACAGAGGCTTCTTTAACAAAACACTGCTTAAACAAGGCCAAACTCTCGCTAGGCGAGAGGAAGCCCAGGAGGGCTGGTGTCCGAGATAAAAGCATGAGCTGCCACCACCATACCTGGCATTACCCGTGGGATCTGCCTGCGTTAGCAGACAGGCTTGCGCTGCCACTGGGAAGGATGTTAAATATGGGGGCTGAGCCGGGCTCCTGAAGAGGAACAACAATTAAGCAGCCTTAAGAAGCAAATTGCAGGGACTGCCAGTCCGGAGGAGGCAGCCGCCTCCTCGCTGCGGATGCTGACAAGGCTCATCTCGATGCTAATGGTGATGAATGGGGCCTGACGTCAGCCCTCAGCCCGCGTAGAGGATCCCGCCAAAGGCTCCCCGCAGCACCGGGGACCTGCTGGGAGACCGGCCCTGCAGCGATCCACAACCTCCTGTCACGCTACGGAAACATCACATAGCAAGAAAGTCCAAGTGGCAGGAGGCTTTGGGCTGTCTCTGCGTCAAACACATGGAAACAAGCCAGAAGGACAGCTCTGGGAGCACGAGGCTGGGACTTCTTCCAGGAGCAGGAGTCCCTGACTTGAACAGCACCTTGGATGCTACGTCCCCTGGGGTGCCCAGGAGACCATCATTCTCACTCTGCGCACAGAGCCAAGGTCAGGGAAAGCTATTTCTGACACTGTCCCCATGCTTAGAGGGCCTTCTAGAAAGCCAAAATCAGTGTTCAGTCTCCAGGACCCACCTGACCCCCAGTTATCACCCCCAGTGCAGACCGGTCAGGACCAGCACCGCTGCTGGAGATGCTTGCCTCCCTGGAAACGCGTGCGGATGCGGTACCGAGCACACAACTGGAGGTGAACCTGCCTCGTGCAGGGGTCGGGCTGAATGATCTCCAGAGGTCCTCTGCTACTGTGTGCAGCTCTGGAAACCAGCAGCAGCCACTGCACGGCAGTTTGCCTGCAGCCCACTCACCTGGGCAGCGGCTCCCCCACTGCCGCGGCAATGACAGAGCAGTCTCTCTGTATCTGCAGATCTGTCCCACGGCACGACGGGCCCGGCTCAGCCGCCAGATCAATGTACTGATTGCTTCTGCTCCAGCTGCCCATCTGATCTGACAGGAGCTATTTCGGGTTGTGCAGCTCCTCCTGATGGAGCGAGCGGCAGCCAGGTTGTGCGCTCAGATGCATATTCTTGCATTTAAAAGCAGGGCCAGATGAGGGTCACTCAAACCCAGTGTTTGGGGTTTTTTTTAAGGATGTGCCATATGAAAAGTGACAGCCTGAAAACCCTGGGGGCTGCAGCCCTCCATTTAAGCCACAGTCAGGGATGGAATGACCAGCAATCAGTGCAGATGTCAGCCTCGAGTCTGCCTTCACCCATCTTTCTTCACCTGGACTATCTCTGGGGGTGGGAGGAAAAAATGTCTGTGCCGGGTGTTCACCGTGCCCATGGCAAAAGCCAGTCAAGGTGAAGCACCAGGAACGGGGACCCTAGGCCCGCAGGGGACAGCAGCAAGACCTAACCGGCTCACACCACACCCCCCACCCCGCGTGTGATTTTGGCAAAATCAGCGGCACGATGCAAACCTCTCTGCCCTCACCCTCGTTGTGTTTGCTCAACAACCCACACCTCCTCGCGTCCCCACTCCCCCACCCCCATGTCACACTTGCCAGCGTGATAGCGTGCGAACAGACTCCCCCTCCCTCCCTTCACCCACGCACAGCTTTTCTGCCTGAAGACCAACACCCACTGCCGAGCGGAGCGCAGGACTCTGCCAATTTTGAAATATCTCCTTCTTCCTTTCCCCTTCCTGCCATTTGCCATCTTTGGAGCAGTTGAAGGGAGAGGGCCTCTGACTGTAAAGCACCACCTGGTCAACCAAGAAGGAAGCTGGAAAAACCATCACCCCAAAGCTGCAAGTGTGCTCCTGCGGGGCCGCTTTGTCCTTCCCATCCTCAGACCCTGCCACAGGCGAGGGGGATGGGTCCTCCGCGGAGAGGACCGGTACCCAGCCAGCCTGGGTACTGATCCTGGCTGCATCAAAGGGAGGTTTCTGGGATGTCTTTTAGCAAGATGGCAGCATCAGATTCCGGCCAACAAAGCTTCCTGGCAAAACCAAACCACTCCATCTCCTGTTAGCTCAGCCCTATTCTCCGGGGCACTCCCGAGATGGGTAAATTCAGGAACTGTTGCTGATGGATCTCTCAGACACAAGCCTATCTCCTCAGGGAGGAGCAAGGGAGCCGAGTGCCAAGGGCTTCCTAGGAGCCGATGTGCAGGCACTGAGCACAGCCACCACGGCACTACGCTACCAAGACAGCAAATGCAGGCGTGGCGGAACAAGAAGCCTGTCACGTTGCTGTGAAAATACATCCGTTGGCTTGTATCGGACCAGTGAATGCATTTCAGCTCGAGGATGCACTGGAAAGGGAGAGAAAGGGAAGACCAGACAACCATCAGGGACTGAGCCAGAGACTGTACTGCAGCGGCAAGGAGCAAGACATAATTCTTCCAGTCCTATTGTCCCCTAAGGCTCTGATGCCAAAACCTAGGAGATGGGAAGATTTGCTGTTCCCCCTTGTTTGCTTGTTATGGATAGCACACGTGCACGGTGTCAGCCAAACTGCTGGAGACTGCAGTGCTCTGTGCTAGACCGGCAAGGCTGTCGGGGAAATCTGCCTGGCCAGAGAGCAACTTCACTCCTTGCCCACTCAGGGATGAGCAGGGTGTTCAGCCTTCCCACCCTGCAGGCACAGAGGGACCAATTAGCTCGGCGTTTTCTGAGTGTGTGACATCTTTCACTAAGGAATGGGCTTGAGTCCTTCCAAGTGATTTCTCCCAAGCCAAATCTCCATTGGCTGATGGCAAAGTTTACAGGTTTCCCAATCTGACGACGAGTCAGACTGCTGACCTAGACACAGGAGTCTCCACAGCTCTTCCACTAATCCTCCAAGCCATCCCAGTCCCCTTTTTCCTTAGCTCTTAATTAGTTTTGTGAGCAGGTCGATAAGATATGTACTGGTGAATTTGGGTCAACAACAAATTTATGTTTATACAGCATCCTTCTCAATCATATCATAGTGGACAATTAGCTCTAACAGAATTTTCAGCACTTAAGAATGAATCAATAGCTGGTTAATTTAGAAGCAATAAAATGAAACACTTTTCCCATATAGCCTATAGTTGCTCTGAGGAGATTAAGTGCCACAAGGGGACTACAAAGACCAAAAAAAAAAAAAAACTGGAAAGGTATTGCATGGAGCTGGATAATTTTCTGACCTTCTGGTCCTGCACACTAAGTGCATGTGAGGCAAACCTGACTTTCTGACAGCTGATCAGGGTCAAGGAGAAATCACCTTCCTACAATAATACAGCACTGCACAAAGAGACAAGTGCAGAGCTTTTGTTTTGGATAGAATTTTGGAAGTTTTGGCCCATATGACAGGTTTGTGTCCCAACTGATGCCCTCTCTGTGCTCAAGGCTGTAGAGAGAGAAGTGCCCAAGGGATAAATCCACTTGAAAGAGGAACACGTGTGCCCAGCACAGGATCTGCTGGCTCTTCTGCTTTGAGTGGTCCTGAATGCCCAGCACAGGCTCTTCTGCTTTGAGTGGTCCTGAAGTGGGAGAGGGGACGAACAAGAGGCTGGAACCGAGGAAAAACAAACCTCCTTGACTGCTGACTGTCAAGAAGGAGGAGACCCCTTGGGCTCTGAGATGACCTCAGAAACAACGTCCCAGGCAGCCCTGAATAAACACAACAGCAAGCACACGGTCAGCTCTGCCCTGGCTGACCCAATCCAAAGTGCCAGTCCCAGGAACTGGTCAAAAACTCCCTGAAACCATTATGAAGACTCTAAAGGGCCTAGAAAGAACAAAGCAGAGAAAGCTTTTTCTCTTCTCCAGCCTCACACAGGCTTTGCCAGCTCTGCCCTGCTAAAGCACAAGTAAAAATCCTCCTAAATAAGGCTCGAGCTGCAGAAGAAACAAATGGTTTCTATGCGAAGATGAACTTAAAACACTTATCACTACATAAAAACAACACTCCAGAAGCTCTCATTTAATGGAGAGGCACTGCCAAGGTTAGTAGGCCAAAAATTTGATGGCTGTTGCCTTCCTTTGTTTGCACAGATCACACGCTGCTCTCTGCGCCTTCCTTCTTGCCTCCCGAAAGAAACGCTGTGGAACGGTAATTGTGTGTGTGTGTATATATATACAGAGAGAGATATGTATAAAAACTATGCCAATAGCCCAGAGCATTTGCAAACAACAGTACAGAAGGCTCTTTAGAAGCAGCAGGCGGAGGTGGGATCTCAGCTGGCGTTGAGAGCTGTTGCTCTGCTGGGGAAGGGCGACCCAGGAGACAGGGTGCTAGCTCTGGAGGGATCTCCAGTCCACACCACATCCTGTCCCTGACCCTCAGCAAGACCTAGAGTTGTCCCCCTGACTTTACACACTCAGCTGAAGCTCCTAAGGTAGGACAAGTGTCAGCCAGGTTGCCTTTGCCCTCCAGGGAAGAAGACGACAGATGCCGGTGGGCATCTTCTAGAGATGGTCGCTCGTCTCCCGCAGATGGGAGGAAATCTGCGGCAGGAGCCCTGGAGCCACAGGCCCTCACTCCTCCAATATGCAGGAGGACGCACCGCTGTTGTGAGGATAACGATGGGGTGTCTCTGGGGTTCCTCTTACACAGTGGTGAGGATTATCATAAATACACCTCACTGCGGATTTCCCACCAGCTGAGAAACTGTCACTGGGTTCTCAGAGGTAATAACAAGGCGGGGCAGAAATTGGTGAGCGAGGAAGTATTGGTTTAAATAACATCAGTCTTAATGTTAGCTTTGGCTAAGCCTATTTTGCTAAGAATCTCAGAGCCTTTCATGAACTGTATTTAAGCTTCAGGATCCCTGGGGAAGGACTAACTTCTGCCGCGGAGGAAAACAAAGAGCAGGGAGTGGGGTGCAGGCTGACTGAGTGCACACGTAGGCACAAGTGTTGTCAAACCCAGCAAACGCGTTCAGCTTTCCATCGAGCTGCTCTGCAGCAACACTGCAAGGCAGAGCCACGTAAAGACCTCGAACAACGCACTTGAAGCGAACCAAAAATGTTCCTCTCCAAAAACAATACTTAAAGTCAAGGAGCTGAAATGAATCTGCCAAAACTTCTCTGGGGAGACATGTGATTCTCATTTTCTTCCCTCCCAAAGAGTGTGGTTTTCATTAATTTTCCCACTGGGTAAAAAAGTAATCCCATTCTGTATCCCTCCCCAGGGTCCCCAGAGTCCAGGACTCCCTTCCAACGAAGCGAGCAGCCCTGAGAACACTCAGGGGCCCTGACTCCCGCTCGGACTACTTTGCACTCTGGCACATGAACACAATGAATACATTTGCTGTTGGGAGAACACATTAAATGGAGATTCTCTGGTCAAAGTCTCACAAACGGACTAAAAACCCCCATTCATCCTTATCATCTTGGAGCACTTAATAAAGCACCAGGGTTTTTCATTGCCAAGTCCCACTAGAGCACGGTTAAAAAGAGCAGCTAATTCACTTACCCGAGCAATCAGCTCCCCGACCATCCCTGTCCATGTGCCGTTTGCCTCAGGGACTCCGTACACACCATCGCCAACGAGGTGGATCTTATAGTTGAAGCGCAGGATCTCTGCCAGCTCCTTCAGCATGTCCACGCAGAAGCCCTCGTAGCGGTCATTGCCTTCCAGCTCCTGATGGTTCCACTTCAGCATTAAGTAAGGGTTTTCCTGCATTGAAACTGGGCAGCTGTCATTCCCATCTTAGCCGAGGCATCCCACCAGCACGGCACTGAGCACGGGGCAGAGAGGGCAGTGGGCTCCCTGGCAGCACCAGCATGGCAGAGGCTCTGATAAGGCCAACTTCCCGCCCTGATACATCCCTCTAAACCAGGGTATAAGGGACACGGAAAGCTGGTTTGGTCACTTGGAAGCCCAAAGTGGCGTAAAGCTAGCCGAGCTGTTTCTACACCGGTATTCACCGGACTCTGCTGCGTCAGGGATGTGCTGGAGTTGCAGCAGATAAATCCCAGTTTAGGACATGAAGCAGAGCTAAGGGATCATGCTTTGGGGGCTGTTTCCCCCTAGAATATGCCCAGACCCTGCTCCAAGATATGGCAAGACATAGAGATCCCAGCCTCTCCTGGCATATAGCCACTTCTCCAGTGTGTCCCCCTTTTCAACAAACTTGGTGGGACATGAGGAAATAGTGCCCAGAGCTCTTCAGGATTTTGAGTGTCTTTTAGGAAGGAGCAGAGACAGTGCAAAAAATCATGGGACCGGCAGCACCTGGAAGGGGAATTTCTTGAATAAGGACAGTGATGCCTGTAGATGTGAAATCCTGGTTCATAAAAGTTGTACCCATCTTGGCCAATTTCAGTAATTTTATGGGTAGAAGGGACAACGGTCCCTTCCAACTTACCAGCTGTACACAAAACAAGAACATCATTCAGAGATGAATGTAAAATGGCAACTTATCCCCATCCCAGCCCTCTCCCCAGCTGCTTCTGAACTCATCAAATATCATTTCCATATGAAACATCAACTTGAGTTTAATTACACTGTCATGAATTGTCCTCAGTGCAGTAATTAGAGATTTGATGGTCTGTTCTTTATGAAATCAGTGTGTGATGCTGCATGCTGGGGGCCAAGGGGGGCAAGAAGAGGGAATAATATTCTAGCTGATTGACACCCCTAAGCGTTGGGCTGGCAAAGAGCTAATGTGAACTGTAGGTGACCCCCTCACTTACCAGGATGGTGGTGACAATGAGTGTGGTGTTGAACAGACTGTCTGATATGTTGGAGGAGAAGATCCTATTGTCCATGCTGAGTCCTTCAGAAACATGCCAGTGGCCGATCTGGAGAGATAAACAGCACAATAAGGGAATTTACAGGGCAAATTACTCCACGCACCTGCCATATGGCTCCGGTGACTGACAACCATCAAGCTGGCCCTGGAAGAGGTGTTTATGAACGCTCCATTACCTTTACAATGAACCCGCCCCAACGGGACAGCAGAGAGATTAACCCACTGGTGCTCGGCCCCGACACACCTCCACCTATGTGACAATGTCAAAGCCCCATCCCTGCTCACAGTGGGCACTGCCTTCCCACACATCCCCCCTGCAGCTGTGCCAAAGCCCTGCACCAGGAGAGAACCCCGAGGCTCGTGGCAGCCGAGCAGCCTTCCGCTTCGTCCCTAGATGCCACCGGGGCGAGTCCATCTTACTCAGCATCTCCTACGCAGCCAAATCTGCAGGCTTGTCCCTCCCAGTGCAGTGTGGCTGGGGGGCGCTCCCCAACCCCACCCCCACACACGGCGAGGGGGTGGTCATCGCTCTCCACCTGGTGCATTTTGGTTGTCCCCTTCAGCTCCTCAGTTCCCTGGAGGCCAGCTCCTAAAGGGGACAGGGCACAGAGGCGCTTCACGGGAGGCTGCCAGAGAGCCTTAGCCGGCTTTTGGCTTGGCTGCACCATCCCGCAATGAGACTCAACCACCAGCACGCACTGACGGGTCAGCGCTGCACCTGGGCTCCATGACACTGAGCTCTTCCCACAGGCTCCACGTGTTACAGGCGGTGGAAGAAATTCAGGAAGTGCTGAAAGCCCAGAAATGGGGAGACAAGATTCCTGTCTCCAACTCCTGTCCTGCTTTATGCTGTCTCTGTAACTTTAAATAAAGGTTTCACCTGCCTGGAAGCAAGCAAATCCTCCTGCTGTCCTCCTGTAAGCGTCACTGTTGTTAGTTAAAGGCTGGTATAGGCCACTGTGAGCTCCTGGGAGGGAAAAGCCACTTCAGAGGGAGTATCAGAGCATCACAGCTTCCCTTGCAATCAGCAGTGCAGCAGCACTGACGTGGGGCAGACGCCTTCCAGCCCTGACCTGCAGCTCCACCTTGGCAGCAGGTGGTGAAATGAGCCACGGTCTCAGCAGTGCTGTGCCGTGACTCATCTCTATCTGATAGCAGATATGGATTCCAGCTACTATGATTAAGTACCTCCGAACCCTTTGATTCAAGCTCATCACACCCAACAGCTCCACGGACAGCCTAATTCACCCATTCAAGCATCAGTGTCGCTGCAGCAAACCAAATTCTCAGCGCCGGTGGAGGGGACCAGCTCCCCAGCGCTTGGGAGGACATGGTGACTCAGCTGTGACGTAATGCATCCAGCCCCTGCCTTCAGCCAGGGGGAGGAATATTCAACAAAAAACTAATTTTAACTTCAAGAGCCTAATCTCCTTCCTTCGGTGCTCTGGGCAGGGAGATCAGCACCTCCAGCGGCTCATGCACAGCATGCAAATTATGCTCTGTCTCTAATGCTCCTAAAAGCCTCTTGTTTTTTCTCATGGATAGACCAACGGCCAGCTCCCTCCAATACCCCTTCTCTCTCCTTTTTCTCCTGCAAAGCCACTCTGTCGCCGTAAGGTCCCAGCCCTCTGCATGCTGGATTGCTGGCCACAGCCTAAGTCCTCTGACACCACGGAAGCGAGCTGCTGCTACCCTAAGAGGCAGTGGGTGACCCCAACATGCAGGGGTGTCCTCATGGTTCCTCCATAGCCACGGTGCAAGAGGAAAACCGTTCCCAGTCCCCTCACGCTGACACGAGCCGCCTTGGGCACTGCTGGTCTAAGACAGGTTATCCTTTCGCTGTGCCACAGTTGTCAGGGTGGTGGGAACAAATCAATTTCTCTTCCGTCAAAGAGTGATCTTATTATGTGCCAAGAGGTGGGTGGAAGGCGATGCAGAGCTACGGGCCAGGCTCCGTCACAGGAATGAATGGGAGGCACGCTGATTTACACCACCCCAGGATGGACTCCATGCACTGAGTTGCTTTTCTTGGCAGTGCTTTGCCTCTGGCATGACTGATGGCTCCAGGATTTTGGAGTCACTTCCCAGCTCGTGCATCTGAGCCAAACACAACCTGAAAGTGCAGCCATGCTGCTACGCTGCCGGCAGACCGAATTGCTCTGAGCATTAAAGGAAAGGGCCAAGTCCTTGCTTCACCTGGCTGTCGGTGCTAATCCAGCCCAAGCGACTGACAAGCCGTTACAGAAGTGGCCATCTGCGAGGAGTCCCAAATCCAGGCTTCTCATCACTAGCCACGAGGAGCAACGGGAAGTGCAAAGAGGACAGCTTACACTTGACAGCCATGTGCCTGCTGTCCTCCCTGGCTGAAGCCGAGGCACCAGGATGCAGCAGCACAGGCAGAGCCAGCGAGTCCCCGGGGGGGCTTGTTTACTCTGCAGATAACACAGCAGATCATTCCTCTGAGCTGTCAGCCCAGCCTCTTCCCCAACAACCTCTGCTAAAAGCACCTGTCACGGCAAGGACCTCGGAATGCACTGGAAGCATTAACTCTTGGAGGCTCCCCACCAACAGGAAGAGCACTGGGGGCTTGTTACCTTCACCTGACAGATGGGGAGATGGAGGCACAGCGATGCTGTGTCGGAGCAGGCTGGGAGCAGATCTTGGGCGTCCTGTTCTCTTGACAGCTTGTTGTGGCTTAACTACCATCCGGCTCGTAGGATCACAGTGACACTGTGCAGGGCTCAGCTCTGGGAACGACAGTCCCAAATTGGGAGATTTACCATGTACTTCATGGACAGGGAGTCCTTGAAGCACAGCTTTAACTGGCCTGTGCAGGGTCTGCACTGGTGTGAGGGGATGGATTTATCCCGGCTGTATTCCTCCGCTCTGCACAAAGGTGCTTGCCTCCCGCTGTGATTGCTAAACAACAGACCCTCTGCAGCAATTGCCTCTCTGAGCGAGTGATCAGTCATAAACATTGCCTAATTTTTTTTCTCCCAGATTTCACAACCAGAGATTAGTGACAGATTAACTTTAATTTTAACAGCCCTCGCTGTTCTCAAATTTGTCCCTCCCTGCTGGCATACTGAGACTAATTGACTGCCTCCTCCTCTGACAGCGCAGTGGGTTTGACCTTGCTTTTAACACAGCACCGAAGCCAAATGCTCCCATGTGCTGGGGTACTTCCAGCCCATCCTGGCTCCTTCCAGCTCACCACTGTCCCCCTCACAGTACGATAAAGCCACTAATTGACTTAACGCTGTTTGCTGTTTCTGCAGTGTAATGTGTCAGAAGATGTCCGGGATCATCAGATCTCTCTCCCTCTCTCCTTTAAGATGGATGTCAAGGTGATTTTAATCACCTCTACCTATGTATAAAGAGCCTCTGAAAAACAGAAAACATATTCACCTACAAAACGTGTTAGAAAGCAATCAAATGCTCTGCGTGGACATGGGTAAGATGATCCTGTTGTTAAGGTTCTGGACTAGGACTTAAGAGTTTTCAGGACTCGGGATTTTTAGTAATGGATATGATTGGTCTATATAAATACACCAGGTGGAGGAGGTCCATAGCAGAGAGGTAGAACAGCTTTTGAAGCTAAAATGATAGCGTTGGCACAAAAATAAATAGATACAAACCAGCCAGAAATAAACAGCCTGAAAATAAGAAGAGGGTTTCTAATGATCGGCGGGGCCAAAGTGATGGCACACCTTTCCCAGAAAAGCAGTGAGGGCAACACAACCACCTGGTTGCTCCTCTGGTCAGACGCAGCCACGTTAATGAGGCCTGGGCTTTCAAGGTCCTTGCGGCGCGAGATGACAAAATACCTCTCAAGCTAATGATTTTAATGAAGTCTTCTGCTCAGTGCCCCGCAGGCCTGAATGGCTGCTCATGGCAGGGAGAGATGACATAGCAACACCTCTCCATAAGCTTCAGAGGCACCCCAGGTACCTACCACCCCCGGTCCCCAGCTAAAAATTAAGGTAAACCCCACCCTGAATATGAGTATCTTAAAACAGGCTGCCGCCGCAAGGAATCCAGACACCTTCTGGGTTCTGATTAGCAAGCACTGTCCTACAGACTGCATTCATCACCTCCCCTTCCTCTGTGTCCCCAGGAAAAGAAAGGAGCGCAAAAGCTACCATCTCTCATCAAGTCTGCTTTTGGAGAGCCTTGTTGGCACCAAGGGGAAAGAGACTGCCAGGTGGAGATACAACTAAGCGGGTACTTGGTGCATGGTGCCTTCATTGCCCCAAAGGGGAGGGAATTGTTGTGGATGCCCCATCCCTGGATGTCTTCAAGGCCAGGCTGGATGAGGCTTGGAGCAACCTGGTCTAGTGGAAGGTGTCCCTGCCCATGGCAGGGGGGTTGGAACTAGATGATCTTTAAGGTCCCTTCCAACCCAAACCATTCTATGATTCTATGATTCTATGAATTTGGGCATCTTGGGGAGGAAGGGAAAAAACCAAAGCAATGAAAGAAATCCATCAGAGGACACTGCACAGGTCTGCTGTGTGGTTGGCACTCCTGAAGGACCCTACCGCAAGACTGATGCCAGCAAGGCAAGCAGGCAAAAGCTTCCTCCACAGAAGTTAGCATGGGCCACAGAGCCGACTATAACAACCTGTACAACCATGAGACATGCACAACCCACCCGAGGCCATGCAGCAGTGGTGGCACGCACCGAGTTCGCCGGGTCCTGGGAGGCAAAAGACATCCAGCTCTTGGCAGGATGTGTCCCTGAACTCGTGTGGGCTAACAGCTAAGGAGGAACAAGTCCCATCGAGACTGATTAGCCTCTTCTAAGTTAAAAAGGTTTGATGTGGCAGGGATTGCGGAGGGTCTCAGAGCTATCGACTGGTAACTCATCTGTATCTCATCAACATACCAATTAGACACCCCTGTTACTTCCACTGCTCTGTGTCAGGACACCAGCAGAGTCGTCTTTAGCTAAACGGCAACTAATCACCCACACCTCGGACGAGGCGAGCGCACGGGGTCACAGGCAGAGCTGGGAACAGCGTGCCCATGGCAGGGCTCCAGCCCCAACAGCAGCTTCCCCTGCCTCTCCTCTGCACACTTGCCTTCCCTGGGGCCATATAAATCACAGCCCCTCTCCATCCCCTTCTCCTGTTAAGCTGCCAAACCTTAGCTCTTGCTTTACTGCAACTCACTACGCTGACACTGGAGGGGTGTGCTGCAATGTTTTATAAAGGGGCAAAGAAAGGGAAAAAATAAAAAGATGACATTTACAAACTCAGTCCTTGTCAGATCTATGGATCACTAACACATTAATGAGTCTGTGCTTTATCGCGCATCCTATGAACAGGGAGCAGCTCTCATATGGCTGGGGAAAAATTTCCACTAGTTAAGCTAAATCAGGAAAAGACACGTTTGGTGCGTTACATAAATGTATTAAAAATTGGATGTCAAAAAGCCCTGTCTCTCCTTGCCCAAAAGCAACAGCACGTTAGAAAATCTAAGTGTCTCTAATTTGTTTGCTGGCTGGATCAGCTTCAAAATTCGGTGAATTCTCTATCAAAGCTGATGAGCTGGAAGTCCCAGTGGCTTCGATAGATGGAAAGAAGAGGGGGGCGGGGGGGCAGAGAG